AAGATTTTCTGGGTGAAGAGTCTCGGGGTGAAAAGAATATGGGTGAAAAGAATGTGCAAGAAGTGTTTCTGGGTGAAGAGTATATGGGTGAAATGTCTGTGCAAGAAGAGTTCGTGGGTGAAGAGTCTCTGGGTGAAAAGTATGGGTGAAAGTATGGGTGAACAGTATGGGTGAAAAGTATGTGTGAAAGGTCTGTTCAAGAAGAGATTGCGGATGAATAGTTTCTGGATGAAAAGTATCTGGGTGAAAAGTATATTGGTGAAAAGTATGCGAAAGAAGAGTTTCTGTGTGAAAAGTATGTGCAGGAAGAGTTTCTGGGTGAAAAGAATATGGGTGAGCAGTATAGTATGTGCAAGAACGGTTTCTGGGTGAACAGTTTCTGGGTAAAAATCTGTCCACGAAGAGTTTCTGGGTGAAGAGTCTCTGGGTGAAAAGTATATTGGTGAAAAGTATGTGCAAGAAAAGTTTCTGGGTGAAAAGTATTTGCAAGAAGATTTTGTGGGTGAAAAGTCGGGGTAAAATGTATATGGGTGAAAAATTAGTGCAAGCAGAGTTTCTTGGTAAAGAGTCTCTGGGTGATATGTATATTGGTGAAAAGTATGTGCAAGAGGAGTTTCTGGGTGAAGAGTCTCTGGGTGAAAAGTATGTGGGTGTGAAAAGCACGTGAAAGAAGAGTTTCTGGGTGAAAAGTATGTGCAACAACAGTTTCTGGGTGAAGAGTTTCTGGGTGAAAAGTATGCGCAAGAAGATTTTTTGGGTGAAGAGTCTCTAGACTCTGGATGAAAATCATATGGGTGAAAAGCATGTGCAAGAAGAGTTTCTAGGTAGAGAGTCTCTGGGTGAAAGGGGTATTGGTGAAAAGTATGTGCAAGAGGAGTTTCTGGGTGAAGAGTCTCTGGGTGAAAAGTATGTGGGTGTGAAAAGCACGTGAAAGAAGATTTTCTGGGTGAAAAGTATGTGCAAGAAGAGAAGAGTCTGGTTGAAAAGAATTTGAGTAAACAGTATGTGCAAGAACAGTTTCTGGGTGAAAGTATGTGCAAGAAGGGTTTCTGGGTGAAAAGTCTTTTCACCGATATACTTTTTACTCAGAGACTCTTCACCCAGAAACTCTCCTTGCACATACTTTGCACTCATATAGTTTTCACCAAGAGACTCTTCACCCAGAAACCCTTCTTGCAATTTTCACCCAATGTCCTTCTCTCTCCAATCTCCTCTAGGGCCACCTATCTGTCCATTGACTGCGCCCAGAACCCCCCAGAAAACCGGACCTAGGGGGAATCGATACCCACCGTCACTGTGTTGCCGCATGGTACATTACCCTGCCAAACCATACAAGCGGCCGGCCATTTTTACAACCCATTTTCCCTTTTTTTGGCCCGTTTGGCAAATACCCCCCCACGACCCCCTATTCTTACTTCGTTCGCAAATAGCAACTAGCCAACTTCCCGGCTGGCTTCCGTAATATTTCAAACTCAATCGTTACATACAAAATGATGCGAGATTGCATAATACTCCACACCTTATACACCACACTCCACACTCCATACTCCATACTCGGCGCCCAAAACTGCGCTTCAAAAATCCGCCATTTCCCTCCATTTTTCCGCCGCTGTTCACTTTCTTTCACCGCCTTGCTCACTGCAATGTTTACACTCCATCTTGTGTACTTGACACACCACACTCTACACCCAACACTTCACACTCGACACGCTAGACACCACATTTTACACTTGACACTGTACACTCCTCACTCCATGCTGGGTGACAGATTGTATGTCACTCCACACAATACACTCCACCTGTTTCAAACGCTATTGCCCTCCATTTTCCCCCTGTTTTCAACGATTTTCCTTCCTTTTTTTTAGACCTTTTTCCTGTCATTCCTCCATTTTCCTCCATTTCCACCCGTTTTCAACGATTTTCCTTCCTTTTCTGTCGTTTTTTCAACGATTTTCCTTCCTTTTCTGTCGTTTTTTTCCTACCTTTTTCCTGGCATTCCTCCATTTTCCTCCTGTTTTCAACGATCCTTTTTTTCTACCTTTTTCCTGTCATTCCTCTATTTTCCTCCATTTTCCCCCCGTTTTCAACGATTTTCCTTCCTTTTCGTCGTTTTTTTCCTACCTTTTTCCTGGCATTCCTCCATTTTTCCCCCTGTTTTCAATAATTTTTCTTCGGTTTTTTCCTACCTTTTTCCTGTAATTCGTCCATTTTCCTCCATTTTCCCCCTTGCCGGAGTCAACGGACCTAGGGGGAATCGAAGCCTACCGTCACCTCTTTGCGTCGTGGTACATGCCCCCCAAAAATGTTCAATGTGCCCACCCTCCACTGCAACTAATTTCGAGATTTTGGCACCATATGCGACGACCACCCCCCAGACCCCCTAATACTCACTTCGTTCGCCAAAGTAACTTTGCCTAGCCTATCGGCTGGCTTTCGTAATAAAACTCTTGTGCATAAGTCGAAAATAATTGGCAGACGATTTGTCACACATATCTTTCACACATATTTTTGTCAACCACCATGTGTCACACATATCTTTGCCAACCATCGTCTTTCATACATAAATCTTGAATATCTTTGTCAAACACCATCTTTAACACACATCTTTCACACACCATCTGTCACACACACCTTTGTCAACCACCATCTCTCACACACAACTTTGTCAACCACCATCTTTCACACACCATCTTTCCCACACATCTTTGTCAACCACCATGTATCACACACATCTTTGTCAACCACCATCTTTCCACACAATCTTTCATATCTTTGTCAACCACCATCTTCAACAGACATCCTTAACTTAACACACATCTTTCACACACAATCTTTCACACACATCTTTATCAACCACCATCTGTCACACACATCTTTGTCAACCACCATCTTTCAGGAGACATCCACCTTCGTTTTGCGTGGCAGGCATGGCACTTAGGGCATTGGGCTGGCTCTGGTGGCGCGCTTACACTACATTGATCGCCGGTGACGCCGCGCCACTTTGCGTGGCAGGCGTGGCACTTGGTGACATCCACCTTCGTTTCATTTGGTAGACGTGGCACTTAGTAACATCCATCTTCGTTTTGCGTGGTAGGCATGGTACTTAGGGCATTGGGCTGGCTCTGGTCGCGCGCTTGGATTGCATTGGTCGCCGGTAACGCCGCGGCACTTCGCGTGGCAGGCAAGGCACCTGGCGACATCTGCCTTCTTTTAGCGTGGTACTTGGTGACATCTGCGTTCCTTTTACGTGGTTAGGGCATTGGGCTGGCTCTGGTGGCGCGCTTACACTGCATTGGTCGCCGGTGACGCCGCGCCACTTTGCGTGGTAGGCGTGGCACTTGGTGAGATCCACCTTCGTTTCACGTGGCAGACGTGGCACTTAGTAACATCCACCTTCGTTTCGCGTGGCTGGCGTGGCGCTTAGGGCACTGGGCTGGCTCTCGTAGCGCTTGGACTGGATTGGTCACTGGTAACGCCGCGGCACTTTGTATGGCAGGCAAACCACTGGATGCCACGTGGCGGGCGTGGCACTTGGGGCACTGGGCGGGGAAAGATTTGGGCGCTGCCGCCGGATGTTTAATTTTGGTCTGCAACCAGCTTTGGAGTTTATAAAATATTTTCCAGCCATATCCGCGAGAAATCCGCAAGGTACAAGGGAACTACACCTCTTCGTGGCCGTTTGCTGCATCGTGCCCATCCATGTCGCCAAATGCCACACCTACCACGCAAAGCGAAGGTTCACCAAGTGCCAGGCCTGCCACGCCAAAAGCCGCGGCGTCCACGGCGTCAAGCCACACAAAGTGACGATCCATGTCGCCAAGTGCCACGCCTGCCACGCAAGGTCCACGTCCCCAAGTGTCATGTCTGCCGGAGAGCAAGTTATATGAGGACAACTTGTTTGTGAGCAAGTTGTGTGATGACAAGATATGAGGACAAGTTATGTGAGGACAAGTTGTGTGTGGACAAGTTGTAAGATGATAAGTTGTATGTAAGCAAGTTATGTGAGGACAGGTTGTGTGAGGACAAGTTATGTGAGGACAAATTGTGTGATAACAAGATATATGAGGACATGTTATGTGTGAGCAATTTGTGTAATGACAAGATGTATGAGGACAAGTTATGTATCAGCAAGTTATGTGAGGCCAAGTGGTGTGAGGACAAGTTGTTTTTGAGCAAGTCGTGTGATGACAAGATATGTGAAGACAAGTTATGTGTGAGCAGGTTCTGTGAGGACAAGTTGTGTGAGAGCAAGTTGTGTGAGAGCAAGTTGTGTGATAACAAGTTGTGTGAGGACAAGTTGTGTGTGAGCAAGTTGTGCGAGGACAAGTTGTGTGAAGACAAGTTGTGTGAGGACAAGTTATATGAGGACAAGTTGTGTGTGAGCAAGTTGTGTGATGACAAGATGTGTGAGGACAAGTTGTGTGTGAGCAAGTTGTGTGATGACAAGATGTGTGAGGACAAATTGTGTGTGAGCAAGTCGTGTGATCACAAGATGTGTGAGGACAAGTTGTGTGTGGACAAGTTGTGTGTGAGCAAGTTGTGTGATGACAAGATGTGTGAGGACAAGTTCTGTGTGAGGACAAGTTCTGTGTGAGCAAGTTGTGTGAGGACAAGTTGTGTGAGGACAAGTTGTGTGAGCAAGTTGTGTGTTGACAAGATATGTGAGGCCTAGGACGCACTGGCAAACTGCAAGAAATAACAACCACAGATTGCTGGTCCTGAAAGTCTCTGCAGCATCTACTGGTGAAATTGCAGATTCCAACTTCTTCGGCCCCAATCCAGGTCTCACATCGAAACTTCTTTGCGAAAAAGAATTGCAAACGAGATATTGCAACATGCTGAGTCCGAAAATTTTGGCAGCTCAGTCACTAACCAGAACCTTTCCAACCGGCAGAAACAAAAATATATCACAACTCCACAAGTTGCACCAACTTGGAAGGGATGAGCCCTTTACCAGTCCCAAAGATCGCCACATCCGCCCCTCTCGATTCCACGGCCTTTTCGGCTCACTTGCAATTGCCTGCGAGATATCCCAGTCTCCGCTTGCTTGCTTCAAAGCAATCTCGTTGGTCATACAGAGTCACCTGACAAGTGCACCGCACTTGACGGCTGATACACAACTGTCATCGTTTCAAGAGCATCTTTGGCTCACCTCAAGAACTGCTTGATCGCTTCAACACCGCAGTGGACGGCTGATACGTAACTGATCTCTTCAAGAGTCGAACTGGCATCTTCGGCTCTGTAGAGTTGCAGGCTTTTGAGGACTAGAACCGCGTGTGAATTGGCCCTGCGGCATGGTCTTGGCACTGCCTGAGAGCCTCACAGCGGACAGCGCAATTGCCGCATCGTGCGCGTCCTGTCTCCTCGATGCCACAATCAAAGAGCGCCGTTTTTCGCTGCAAGGTGAATGATCATGCCGGGGAAAGAAAAGTATGCCGAGAACGCTGAGAATGCAGAACCTCAGTATTCGGGCACGCTGTGCAGTTGGCATGCAGTTCAGCTTAAAGGCAACGTTTACTGCAAAATTCTCAGCCAGCTTTGGGAACAAGTGTTCTTCGCAGAGCCAACCTTCAATCTGAACCGAGGTGCTGGCGCTTGGAAGATTTCATGAGGAAGAATTTTGGGGGACGCATTGGTTTAGGTGCTGTGGCACTGGGATCTTGACACGCAATCCAGCCGAACCTTGGGTTGTCATGAGCTTGCGGCTCAACATTCAAGACTTTGAAGAAGAACTACAGCCCAATGCCCTGCTTGCTTAAATTCAATGTATGGAAAAGGGCGGAAAAATCTGGAACATGTGCATGGTCTGTCAACAAGTTCTGACAGCAAAGCGACTGGAGAGGGTAAAGAACGCCGGCAAATGTGTTGTGATACAGAGCTGTGTTTGCCCTACACCTTCTGTTCCAGCTGATGCTTTCTTCACAAAATACCGAGCCTGGCGACATCTCGGACGCCACAAACACAGCTTGCGAAGCCACGGCAGAACAAACTTTGTTGAGAAGAACTCTCCAGGAGGTCAACATCCGTGGCAAACAGTACGACAGTCAGCACAATTCCATGGTACCTGACGGTTCCAGACTTGAGACCAAATCTTGCTGCGCTCAGTATTCGGGCACGCTGTGCAGCTGGCATGCAGTTCAGCTTAAAGGCAACTTTTACTGCAAAATTCTCAGCCAGCTTTGGGAACAAGTGCTCTTAGCAGAGCCAACCCTCAATCTGAACCGGGGCATGGTGCGGGGTGCGTGCCAGCAAGAACTCACTCAGCACGACTCACGCATGGAAAGCTTCAAGCCTTCTGCGGATCGACACGAACTGAGGTGGAAGCAGGCACACGCACAGTGAAATGACTGGATTTGAGCAAAGGTCCAAAACTGCAGCCACATATCATCAGTTGCTGGCGCTTGGAAGATTTCATGAGGAAGAATTCTGGGGGACGCATTGGTTTAGGTGCTGTGGCACTGGGATCTTGACACGCAATCCAGCCGAACCTTGGGTTGTCATGAGCTTGCGGCTCAACATTCAAGACTTTGAAGAAGAACTACAGCCCAATGCCCTGCTTGCTTCAATTCAATGTATGCAAAAGGGCGGAAAAATCTGGAACATGTGCATGGTCTGTCAACAAGTTCTGACAGCAAAGCGACTGGAGAGGGTAAAGAACGCCGGCAAATGTGTTGTGATACAGAGCTGTGTTTGCCCTACACCTTCTGTTCCAGCTGATGCTTTCTTCACAAAATACCGAGCCTGGCGACATCTCGGACGCCACAAACACAGCTTGCGAAGCCACGGCAGAACAAACTTTGTTGAGAAGAACTCTCCAGGAGGTCAACATACGTGGCAAACAGTACGACAGTCAGCACAATTCCATGGTACCTGACGGTTCCAGACTTGAGACCAAATCTTGCTGCGCTCAGTATTCGGGCACGCTGTGCAGCTGGCATGCAGTTCAGCTTAAAGGCAACTTTTACTGCAAAATTCTCAGCCAGCTTTGGGAACAAGTGCTCTTAGCAGAGCCAACCCTCAATCTGAACCGGGGCATGGTGCGGGGTGCGTGCCAGCAAGAACTCACTCAGCACGACTCACGCATGGAAAGCTTCAAGCCTTCTGCGGATCAACACGAACTGAGGTGGAAGCAGGCACACGCACAGTGAAAGGACTGGATTTGAGCAAAGGTCCAAAACTGCAGCCACATATCATCAGTTGCTGGCGCTTGGAAGAGTACAACAAGAAGAATTTTGTCGGGTTCAGAGCAAGCTTCATGCCCTCTGTCTCGTCACGCAGCCAGCGCCTCTTTCTCTGATCCTGGAACTGATTTGAAGGCTGCACCAGTTGCCGCACTTCAATCGCAGGTGCCCATCATCATGAGTTTGGCATATCTCAGGAACAGTTCAAACATGTTTGTTGGGCAAGTTCTGCCCTCTGGGAAAGGGCAGAAGTGTATTGTTGCCTGCACTTGCCGCTCATGGACTATTAACTCCGCAAAGCAGATAGATTCAAAACACACCCACTGGAATCCAGAATCTGCATGAAAAGAGTAAGATCTTATCTGAGTACTCATTTTAGGAGTCACCGCTAAGGCATGTGTGGGAAAAAACATATCTATCCATTTCAGAGCGGTTCTGCATTCTTGGGCAGAAGACACAAAGCTTCGGGCAAGATTTTGTTGCAGCACGCTGTTTGCCAGTCCGTGACATCAAAGGGACTGAATGTAAAACTGTAGTTGCAGGGTGCAGAAGCATTGACAACGCTGAACTCCAGCCACGGCTCTCTTGCCCTCCAAACCCAACACAGAATGCTCTCAGGGAGCACCAGCTAGCACAGCCTAGTTACAGTGCACTTCTCTGCAATGCACTTCTGTGGGCCTCTACAAAACATTACCTTTCGTGCATAATCCTGCATGTGATGAGGCATTCTTCTGCAGGCTCCATTCGGAGTCAAGTGTGACTTGCCAAGCGTTGCTGGCATCGGAAGACACTCAGAGAGCAATCAATCCTCATTTTGCCTCGCCCATGTTCAAGGGCATGGAATCGCAGTCTGCGCATGTGATAAAAATCATCAAGAATGGCTACAATCCAACAGAAAACTCTGAACCTATCTTCTGGTACCAACCAAGTAGGAGCTTTGGGGTCTCACTAGCCTTTAGCAATTTAGTGGTGCATCTATCAACCCAGATGCACATAGATGTGTTGTTGGGTTCAGAGCAAGCTTCATGCCCTCTGTCTCGTCACGCAGCCAGCGTCTCTTTCTCTGATCCTGGAACTGATTTGAAGGCTGCACCAGTTGCCGCACTTCAATCGCAGGTGCCCATCATCATGAGTTTGGCATATCTCAGGAACAGTTCAAACATGTTTGTTGGGCAAGTTCTGCCCTCTGAGAAGGGGCAGAAGTGTATTGTTGCCTGCACTTGCCGCTCATGGACTATTAACTCCGCAAAGCAGATAGACCCAAAACACACCCACTGGAATCCAGAATCTGCATGAAAAGAGTAAGATCTTATCTGAATACTCATTTTAGAAGTCACCGCTAAGGCATGTGTGGGAAAAAACATATCTATCCATTTCAGAGCGGTTCTGCATTCTTGGGCAGAAGACACAAAGCTTCGGGCAAGATTTTGTTGCAGCACGCTGTTTGCCAGTCCGTGACATCAAAGGGACTGAATGTAAAACTGTAGTTGCAGGGTGCAGAAGCATTGACAACGCTGAACTCCAGCCACAGCCCTCTTTCCCTCCAAACCCAACACAGAATGCTCTCAGGGAGCACCAGCTAGCACAGCCTGGTTACAGCGCACTTCTCTGCAATGCACTTCTGTGGGCCTATACAAAGCATTACCTTTCGTGCATAATCCTGCATGTGATGAGGCATTCTTCTGTAGGCTCCATTTGGAGTCAAGTGTGACTTGCCAAGCGTTGCTGGCGAAGACACTCAAAGAGCAAGCCTCATTTGGTCTCGCCCATGTTCAAATGCATGGAATCGCAGGCTATGCATGTCATAGAAATCATCAAGCATGGCTACAATCCAACAGAACGCCCTGAACCTATCTTCTGGTACCAACCAAGCAGGGGCTTTGGGGTCCCACTAGCCTTTAACAATTTAGTCTTGTGTACCTAAATGCGCATAGATGTTTTGTCGGGTTCAGAGCAAGCTTCATGCAGACTAGCCAGCGCCTCTCCTCAGTATTCTTTTTAGAAGTCACCGCTAAGGCATGTGTGGGGAAAAGCACATCGATACCGTTCAGAGCGGTTCTGCATTCTTGGGCAGAAGACACAAAGCTTGGGGCAAGATTTTGTTGCAGCACGCTGCTTGCCAGTCCGTGACACCAAAGGGACTGAATGTAAAACTGTAGTCAGGGTGCAGAAGCATTGACAACTGAACTCCAGCCACAGCTCTCTTGCCCTCCAAACCCACCACAGAATGCTCTCAGGGAGCACCAGCTAGCACAGCCTGGTTACAGCGCACTTCTCTGCAATGCACTTCTGTGGGCCTCTACAAAACATTACCTTTCGTGCATAATCCTGCATATGATGAGGCATTCTTCTGTAGGCTCCATTCAGAGTCAAGTGTGACTTGCCAAGCGTTGCTGGCATCGAAAGACGCTCAGAGAGCAATCAATCCTCATTTTGTCTCGCCCATGTTCAAGGGCATGGAATCGCAGTCTGCGCATGTGATAGAAATCATCAAGCATGGCTACAATCCAACAGAACGCCCTGAACCTATCTTCTGGTACCAACCAAGCAGGGGCTTTGGGGTCCCACTAGCCTTTAACAATTTAGTCTTGTGTACCTAAATGCGCATAGATGTTTTGTCGGGTTCAGAGCAAGCTTCATGCAGACTAGCCAGCGCCTCTCCTCAGTATTCTTTTTAGAAGTCACCGCTAAGGCATGTGTGGGGAAAAGCACATCGATACCGTTCAGAGCGGTTCTGCATTCTTGGGCAGAAGACACGCAGCTTGGGGCAAGATTTTGTTGCAGCACGCTGCTTGCCAGTCCGTGACACCAAAGGGACTGAATGTAAAACTGTAGTCAGGGTGCAGAAGCATTGACAACTGAACTCCAGCCACAGCTCTCTTGCCCTCCAAACCCACCACAGAATGCTCTCAGGGAGCACCAGCTAGCACAGCCTGGTTACAGTGCACTTCTCTGCAATGCACTTCTGTGGGCCTCTACAAAACATTACCTTTCGTGCATAATCCTGCATATGATGAGGCATTCTTCTGTAGGCTCCATTCAGAGTCAAGTGTGACTTGCCAAGCGTTGCTGGCATCGAAAGACACTCAGAGAGCAATCAATCCTCATTTTGTCTCGCCCATGTTCAAGGGCATGGAATCGCAGTCTGCGCATGTGATAAAAATCATCAAGAATGGCTACAATCCAACAGAAAACTCTGAACCTATCTTCTGGTACCAACCAAGTAGGAGCTTTGGGGTCTCACTAGCCTTTAGCAATTTAGTGTTTGCCCTACACCTTCTGTTCCAGCTGATGCTTTCTTCACAAAATACCGAGCCTGGCGACATCTCGGACGCCACAAACACAGTTTGCGAAGCCACGGCAGAACAAACTTTGTTGAGAAGAACTCTCCAGGAGGTCAACATCCGTGGCAAACAGTATGACAGTCACCACAGTTCCATGGTACCTGACAGTTCCAGACTTGAGACCAACTCTTGCTGCGCCTGAGCAAAGGTCCAAAACTGCAGCCACATATAATATTGTTGCTGGTGCTTGGAAGATTTCATGAGGAAGAATTTTTGGGGACGCATTGGTCTAGGTGCTGTGGCACTGGGATCTTGACACGCAATCCAGCGGAACCTTGGGTTGTCATGAGCTTGCGGCTCAACATTCAAGACTTTGAAGAAGAACTACAGCCCAATGCCCTGCTTGCTTCAATTCAATGTGGAAAAGGGCGGAAAAATCTGGAACATGTGCATGGTCTGTCAACAAGTTCTGACAGCGAAGCGACTGGAGAGGGCAAAGAGCGCCGGCAAACTGCTTTCAGGATCAATGAAGCGGAGAGAATCTATGTAGCGCTTTCTCAGGATTCTATGATATGTCGAGACTCTGCCATCATGCACTTCCAGGCACAACCTCTGCAGGATTCCCCTTGACCCTGCCTGCACAAGCCTGCGTTAGATTCATCCTACGAAGGTACATGCCCATCTTTCTGATCAATTTACAATATTTCTTGGGTCGTACCTTATTTTCAATAATTCAAAATGAAATTAAGTGAGGTCGTCTGAAAAACGAAATTAGTGTGACGTCGTTGCCCAGGTTGAGGTCGTTGAACACGCTTTGCCTGGCAGCACGCATACGGATCTCTTAACTAATGACATATAATGGATGGGCGGTTTTGAGGGTCGGTGTTTGTTGGGTGGACAGTATATGGGTGATTATGATATAAACATATATATACACATATATAAAATATGTTCAAGCAGTATGTACATAAATCTATCCGTCAGTATCATGATCCCATTCGGTGCTTTAATCCACTACAAATATATATATATATAGACATACAATGCCTAGGAAGGGATCACGTGGGGTTGTCTCAAAATAATGTATCTCCAAATCCCTCTGTTTAAAACCTCATACACGACCGACCGATGTGTTTAGGAAGGATGTCTGCAGAGGAAACGAATTCAACGACATGCAAGCAACCAAGGCCGGAAACCAGCGTAGCCAGGGCAGCTATCCCGGATTCCGGCCACGACAGAGCCCAGCGCGGCCGAAACCCTGGTATAACGCAGGCGATCTACGCGCGTTTTTGTGTTTGCCGGGCGTGGCGGGCCCGTTGAAAGCAACCAAGGCCGGAAACCAGCGTAGCCGGAACAGCTATCCCGGATTCCGGCCACGACAGAACCCACCGCGGCCAAAAGCCAGGTAGAACGCAAAATGGTAGCTATCATCTACGCACGTTTTTGCGTTTCCCTGGCGCGGCGGGCCCGTGGAAAGCAACCAAGGCCGGAAACCAGCGTAGCCGGAACAGCTATCCCGGATTCCGGCAATGACAAGGCCCAGCGGTAGAATGCAAAAGATCGCTCATCCACGCGTGTTTTCGCGTCTTGGAGGTGCAGCAGCGCCGCAGCAAGCAACCAAGAAAAAAAATTCAGCGTAGCCGGAACAGCAACTTATGCATCATGTTACAGCCGCAGAGCGGAGCCACATCACTTACTTGGCAAGTGCATAGCAAGAAAAGAAAACATCAAATACGAAAAAGAATGCTCAGCATCAACCACGAGCGTGACTTGCTACACTGACCGTGTG